AAATTAAAAGTTTACTTGAATTATATGTTTATATCTCTGCTGAAGATGAACGGTGAGGTCTTTAAAATAAATAAACTAATCAGCACAGTTTCTGTTAAACATATTCTAAGATACAGAAGTACGGCATGCTAACATCATATTGAAATGCATTTATCAAAATCAATATTATATAGGAATCTTTTAGCCCATGCGCAGTTTTGTATGTGTGAAAAACTGCTTATCAATATTTGTGATTAGCTTACTCCTTGGTTAAATATAATGTATTCAGCAGTTGGCATGAAGCAGTTATTTATTGCAGTGCCAAAGGAGGCTGTCACGGCCCAGGCCAAAATGAATGAAGGAATGACTGGTTGAAAAGCAAATTGTTTTGCCCTGTGCTAGGGCTGAACAATTTAGGAAAATTGTCTGGCTTTGTTTTTATTTTATTTTTTCTGAGGAGCATTGTAATCACAAATAGATTTGCAATTTATGTTGGTGGGGTTGGGATTCTGTTCAAAGTTCCCATTTTAAACATATCAAAGAAAAAAAACAAAAACAAAAAAAAACATAGACAGGCTGGTATAGAAATACTCAGGGCAGGCCCAGCCTATAAACACACTTAGCAGCAGTTTAGGGCCTCAAGGCCACCAGAGGGCCCCTAAAGGCCATTTTATCATATTGTCTGTGTCTGTGAGTCGACACAGAACTATACTTTGCCCTAAAGAGCCTCCCACCCCCTCCTTCCCACCCCCTTGTTTAAATGTAGTTAGGTCCTGTTGTGATTTGCTGCCCCTGGTTTATACCTGTCTAAATATCCCTCTGAAACGATTAAATGTGTTTTATTTCCAATAGCTGAATATATGATGTCTACCTTTATTTTTGTGTTGAACATTGGTGTGAACAGCTGTGTGTTTACACTCAGGCAAGGTTCCCCTTCCCTTGAGGAAAGGACAGAATGATGATGAGATTAATATATATTTGTCTGCAACTTAAATATTTGAGTTTTACTATTTAAATTTACTTACTTTAAATTTATTTACTTTATTTTGTGTTCTGCTCTGTGTTGTTTTTACTTTAAGTTTTGTAAAGATTACATTTTAATAAATATGTTAATTATATTTAAAATGTGCCATCAAGAGATTTTTTTTTTAAATTAGTAACAAGCACAATTTTTCTCTTCAATATTGGGAACACAAATGGATAAATTTATTTTATTTTAAATTTTCTGTTAAAGCTAACCTTAAATCTGGTTTTGGTTGGCCCAAGAAATGCTGCAGCACCACATGCCAACAGCCAAAAAACATGACCCAAATAGGGAATACAAATAAACACAAGCACATCCCATGAGAGTTACACAAAAACAACAGTGTAGATAAGAACTCGCATCCTGATAAAACTCTTTAGAATTACTGAACTAAATAAATATCTGGACTCTTACCTTCCACTTTACCTGATTTGAGTATTTTTTATGTTGAATGTGGAAATGTGGAGTGTGATGTTTTTAAATGAAAGAATGGTTCGATCGTAAATAGATGGATATTTCGGTCTATTTAGTTCAAATGTATTTTAAGTTAAGTAGAAGATGCAACCACTGCCCAGCTGGGTGAAGGACACAACAATAGAACTTAGAACTAAAATCAAGCAGATGACCACTACACTGTTGCGCCACTGGCACTGTTTTTCTTTGACTTTATGGCCTAAAAGAATGAGTGTCTCAAGTTGTGTCTTGTGTCCGTCTACATGCTGATAACCCTTATACTTTTGAACTGACATCATCTCTATAGCTAAAATAAGGCACTGTATACATCCTGCTCCTGAGTGTTTATAATCTTTTATCATCTTAAAAGCTCTGCACAAATTCTCCCCATAATGAATTAGTTCCTTCTTCACCAATATAAAATATCTTGCATAAAGAAACTATTCAATGTAAGACATGTAAACAAGACAATAAAATTCTATAAAATTCAATAAAAAGTAATATTATGCTATAAATGATGCAGAGAATTTACTATAGGTTGGAAGAAGTAGGCTGGAAAAAGGAGTTTGGACTGACTCAGAGTTAAACAACTAACCCCCCCCTATTCTTCTATACTGACATCATGTGCAGTAATACATTGTACATCCTGCTTCCGTGTTTATGATCCTTGAAAGCTCAGAAAGCTAGTAACAAATTATTTCCTTCTTCACCAGTATTTACTGAAACCAGTTAGTCATTAAGGATGTTTGAAAAAATCCCCAAATTAAAAAAGAGTAAGAGATTAAGTAAGTCATATTATGCTATCAGTGAAGTAGGGACGTTACTGCAAGTCGGAAGAAGTAGGCTAGAGGAGAATTTGGACTTGCTCATAGTTAAATAAATAAATAAATCCCATCAGAAAAGCAGGAGTACAGTGATTTCCCCCCATAAACAATGAAAGAGAATACCTTTATATCATAGCATGACCCTTTCTTAAGAGCATTATGGCAAAAATGTATAATGTAATTTCCTAGTACTGCACAAAAACAGCAGTGTAGATAAGAATAGAGGCATCCTGATAAAACCTTTTAGAATTACTGAATTAGAGGTAAGCTTCTCAATTAAACATCCATCCTGCAACCACCTTTTGGTTTCACAGAAAACAAAATGCATATGAGGTGGTGATGATAGATTTTTATATAGGTTATAATACTCATACAACTTCATTATTCATCACCAAAGCATTTGGTTCTGTTTGAAAGTATAAAAGCAGGCTACTGGTCAAATTTAGTGACATACAGACAATACTGGCCATTAGGATTGATTTGAATCCTCCTATTGTCTGTCAACACTGACAACAATAATTTTGTATTTACATGAGGTAAACTGTAATGTAGGCTCAAGTGATCATTGTATTGAGTTTTTTTATTTTTATTAATTGAATGTGGAAATGTGAAGTGTGATGTTTTTAAATGGAAGAATGGGAGAAAATGTGTAAATATTTTACCCTGTCCAGGGACTACAGATGGAAACTAGCTTTAGCTAATTCTGGTGTGAAGCATCTTTTCTTCTTTTAGATTAATGTGTAAAAACAAACCAATAAACTCAACTATTCAAATTCCACTCAGTGGCCAGCACGAACCCCAGTTCACATGCTCTCCCCATGTCTGGGTGGGTTTCCTATGGGCACTACAGTTTTCCAGTTTGCCCATCAACCCAAAACGTGTACCAAAGGTACAGTCCTCCAGCTCAGGTAGGCCTGACCAAGTCTAGCTACAATGAGATCAGTCCCCGGGTGCGCCACTCACTGCCCACTTCTCTCAAGGAGATGCTCCAGCAGCATTCAAGGATAGTTCAAATGCAGAGAACAAATTTCCCTACGGGGACAATTAAGTACCAATAAAGTACCTTTCTTGCTAAACTATGATGAGTGTAAAATATAATGTTTTGTCATTTTAAACTTAAATTTAAAGTGGGTTAAATTTACAAAATGCCTCTTACATTATATTTGTATGTTTTATTTATATTTAGTAACTCTCACGTTTGCTAAAATGGAATATTTAAAATGGTGGTAGATTGAAGTTGGATTACAATAAAAATGTTATATTCATAAAAGCCTTGCCTTGCCTTAACAAGTCTACCATATCCTCATAGGACTATTATAGTGCAGGTTAGATAACACGTTTCACTAAAATCAACAGAGACTCAATTTATTTGCACAAATATTATAAGTATAAGTATATGATAGAATGATTTTTTTTTTTTTTTTCCCACGGGTGAAGTACAATCTGGCCAAAACCTCTAAACTAGACTGTGAGAAAAGTATTGTACTGCTTTTTTTTGTTTTACAAAAGTGTTGATTCAAAATGAGTTGATTCTGTAATAAACTTTCCATTAAAAATACACAATTTTATTGTAAATGTATTTATTTAAATTAGTTACAAACACGCAAAATAAAAAATATTGAAATAAATATTCTGGCAATACTATGATCAGTACATACTGATTTTCAGTTTTGCAATTTGTGTACATTAAGAAAGTATCAGGATAGCTCTAAGCCTCTTTTCTTGAAGGAGCTGGACTGCACATAGGTGAGACGTAGGGGTCGGAGTATTCGGATCCCAGCCCTGATTCTGAGGTGCTGTCCCCCATTACACTGCTGTACTCTTTTTCAGTTTGAAGAACATCATAATCAAAAGCAGGGTTTGTCTGTCCCTTTATGTGTCGCTTCTGAACATCTTCAAAAATCTGCAGAACCTTTTCAAATATACACAAAATATAAGTGAGTATAAAAATGTAATTTAACACTGAAAAATGCAAAAATGGGTGTAGTTATTTACCTTTGATTTCGGAATGAGGCCAACTCTGAAGAAGCCGATCTGTCCTGAGTCAATCTTGGTGCAGTCCACCACAGTAGATGCAATGTTTTCAGGAGAGGGTCCATCACATAACACACCATCCACCTATGAAATTAAATGTGTCAATTACAGTCTATACACTATTACTTCAATGTTATGACTGTGGGGTTAATCAACAATTATGCATTACCTTGTTACCCAGCTTTGCAAAAACTTGGTTGTGATGCGTTGTGTCAGCTTCTCCTGTTGGGTTGGCTGAAGTTACTGCAATGGGCCCAACCTTTAAGATGACAATAGTGGTCACAGACTAAACATTTTTATTGTAAATGTGGGATTGCAGTGTGTTTTAATTGTACACAATCAAGTAAAATAAACCAAACATAGTTTGTAACCAAACAAGTTACAAATATACATATAAGTTCAGCTTAGATATTTGTAGTTATATTTAAAACATCCTTCAATGCAATGTCTGTTTGTACTTCTCACCAGACTCATGAGGTGGGTAGCAACTGCACAGTCTGGATTTCTGATGGCAATGCTTTGTGGCGTTCCAATATGTTTGGCTGCATCCCCTAAACCAAAAACATCCATCCATGGGCCTGTAAATAAATGTAAAAAACAAATTTAAAAATAAAATAAGATGTGTTAATTTTGATGAAAACTAAATAAGTATCTTCTCTCTCACCTCGGGGTATAACCATGCTGATGGATGATGGCCACGCTGCCTCCATAAAGTCCAGCAGCAGAGGGCTCAGCAGGTGTTGCACTGGCTCCAGCTGTTTGATAGAGGAGATCCACATCGACATGGGCCGGTCCTCTGCCTTTTTTTTCACCCTGAAGTAAAATATTACAAGAGTGAAAACCAACATCTATTTCTCATGTAATTAACAATGACACATTTCAACTTACTTGTAGGCTTTTACTACTGCATCAGGACGGTGCAAGCTGCTACTAGCACATACACAGTGTCTGTTGGCATTCCACATACACCTCCATTCTTCATGATATCTATGAGACAATTAAAGCACATTTCCCATTTAGACTGAAGAATACAGTGACTCCCAAACACAAAACACAAAAACTGGTGATATAAATGTCATATTATGTTATGTGTGTAGAAACATGTAGAAGGAGCTGTATTTAAACTGTAATAATTTATCTGTAATGTAATTCTTTTTAATCAGTATAGGCAACACTTCTTTACACACTTTACTTAAAAAAATAAATACAAATTAATTTAATATGGACTGCTTATGCCAATATAGACTCAGTACAAATTTGTGGGAAACACTGTGTAATAATGTAATGTAAACGTATAAAATGAAATGTAATAATGATGTGATATTGGCTCACCTGCAATCTGCTGCACAGATGTGGCCTTGCGTGCAGGAACATGTGGACAGATATCAGCGCCGCCACCAACTCCACTCAGTTTAATAATAGGCCTTCCCAAAGGGATCTGAGGCCACTGCAAGGTGGTGCTAAACATCTGGGCCAGAAAGAAATAAAAACTGACAAGGCCAAAGATGATTGCCACTCCTATGTCATAACCATGAGGCAAATTTCCCAGTGCATCCAACAGGAAACTAATGATTATGAGCTGGAAGGTGAGAATGTAAACAAACCAGCCCACACTAAGAAACAATGCTGCGACTGTCACTAAAGAGTTAAACAACAAAAAACTGATTATCCCTACTGCTAAATTAAAGCCTCTAACATCCCCATAGAGGGCGCCAAACCTGACCAATCCCCAGAATGCCCACATTGTTCCTAAGAGTACAAACGCAGTACTTTCAAATGTTTTGCCTCGTGAAAAGGCCACTAACCCACAGAGTAGCTGCAGTAGCCCACCGCCCACAACTACCCAGGGCAGAGGCGTATATACAGAGTCTACATGTGCATCAATGAGGGCAAAAGCTGCTAGCACGTTACTGGCATGGCCCAACACTTCAGCATCCGCATATTTGGAAGACCCCAGATAAGGCACATTTTGGTCTTTATCATTGGTTTTAAGAGTCACACAGTTTATTCGGCTTACTAATGACTTGAAATATCCATGCATTATATGTGTTTGGGAAGATGATATCATTAGGAATAAGCCCATTAAAATCAGGCCTGATGTTACAATGAATATAGCTGCTTGAACGCCCTGAGCACCTCTAGAGGACTGGGCTGCAATAGCAATACAGTAAGCTGTAAAGAACAACTGGTAGACTCCATTCAACAGACCTTTTGAACAACTAAACAAAGCAAGAATTGTAAACAGCACAGAGAAGACAATTGGGCTAACTAAAGGAGATACAGGTTGATGTCCAGTCACAATGATATTGTATCCTTCTACAAATTTCAGCAACACCATGAAAGCAAAGAAAGTGGCTGTCAGTGTGTCCTTAGCCCTGAAGAAAAAAACACACATGACCAAATGGAACGCTGCAGCAGTCCACAACCAGCAGACGTGAATTGGGTTAAGCACCACCCCGAACAAAGGACTGGCCAATACAGCAGCAGAGACCAAGTTCATTATCAAACCTATAATAATTACATCACAGTATTTTAAGCCCTCCTCAGTCTTCGGAACAACTTTCTTATCTTTTAAATCTAATCCTGGGAACTCCCATTTGCCACGAGTGAAGATAGACAATAGACGTCCAACACCAAAATAAACACCTACAAGAAAGACTAAGAGGTAATAGGCTGCTGTGGTAGTGTGGCCAAAACCAGTTGCAAACAAATCAGCTATCTGATGAGCACAAGCTAAACTAATGCTGATTGATATGATGATTACAACAACATTCTTTGCTAAAATTGCAATGAAGCCAATGAGAAACAGGGCTAAACTAAACGCACCCAAACCAGGGGTTAGGACAAGTCTTAGCTCATCAACACTGACCATGTTCTGTCCTGACAAAATGTAACTAGACCCAAACAACCCCACAGGCCTGTGATGGTTAGAGACATGGTGGAAAACCACTGGGCATGGCTAAGGCAGTTAAGAGCTGTAGGGAAAAACAACAAAATATATCAATATTTAGTACATGATAATATAGGAATAGTCAAAAATAGTATTAAAATACAATTTGACAAACCTGCCTGAAGCAACAGGGCAGCAACGATGAGGAGTAGTACCCCTAGTGCAGTGTGAGGAATTAATGTGTCATTGGCATAGTTGTTTACGAGGAGGAGAAGAGAACCTAAACAAAAAACATAAGTTCTACAGGGTCATATATTTTAATATATAGCATAGCTTATCCTAATAATACCACAAGGGCACTGATTTACCAAATAGGCATCAATAAAACATGTAGATTCAATCGGTCATGTAGGCTAAGCCTGTGACTAAATACGTATAATGAGTGAATATTGCACTATAAAGCGTCTTTGAGAGTCAAATAAATCCATATAAAAGGAAACCATTATTATTACTACAAAAATCCTAAACACATAACGTGTACAAAAATCTTAATTTACAATTGAGATGCAGAAATGTTAACGTTAATTTTACAATAATTATCTCGGAATTCTGTAAAAGTCGTCTTACCCCCGGAGATGGAGAGAATGCCCACGGAGACTTGCTCGTCAGTCATGCTGCAGGAGTAAGAGCTGAACTTGGAGGTCGGGATTTTAAGCGTCTGTGCGCAGTGACGTCAACGCGCAAGAGAAACTTGAGATTGGAGCTGCGCCTTTTGGGAAAAAACCATTAGAAAATGTGTGATTCACGCTCTAAGTAGGTTTTTGTTATGGATCTTCATCTGTTGTCAGTACCGAAACTAGTTTCCACACCTAAATCAGCATTATGTAGGTTAACCTGAGTCTATGGTGACTTATATTCTTTTACATTGAGTGACCCTTCAGTGACGCTTCGGTTTACAAATAGGGTCTAATCATCCAAACTTACGGAAGAGCATTGTATTCATAACAAAAATAATATCTCGTAATTACCAGATAATATCGATAAATGTATGAATCAGGCAGCTTGCTGCTCAAAAGTACAGTAACCAGGTAAATTTCCTCTGTATGGAGCGCGCTTCTATGTCTGGTTACTTGGATCTAACCAAGATGTCCCATACTGCCACAGATTCCCTTCTGGTTCTCTACTGTTTCCTAAGAGCGCGCGTACCGTCACCCGCATGTTTGCTCAGGCACGGCATCTGTCAGATAGGCCACAGCACCGAAGAGGACCAGATGTAAATGTGGCTGGGGATAGTAGGTTTGAGCAGCAAACTATCTGATTAAGTTTTATCTCGTAATTAGGGGGAAAAAAGAATATGAGAAACTTCTTAATTACGAAATAAATATGTATGCGATTTTTTTTTTTCCCCAGAGGAGGAATTGTGGGAGGAGACCAGTGTCAGTGTCAGCGCTTCAATAAAGAGCTGCGCACAGAACACGGTTATAAAGCACTTCACGGCGGATACAACTTAAGAATAAAATCTAGGTAAGTACGTCATCCAATATCTTGATCGTAATATTTATTTGTATATATAAACACATTTAATGATAAATTGTTTAGTTCATAGGATATTTTCTGGTCCCTCTTTTAGTTTGTATAGTGAGCTCATTACCTGGCTACCGCAGCGCTCCCCTGAGACTCAGCTCTGTAAATTATTTATGTCAGGTGTCGTTTTTACTGGCAATAAGCACTTCTTCTGAATAAAAAGTGGAAGGCACTGGTAGCTTTTAAAAAATAACTGTTGACACTTTCAGGTCCAATGGCAAAGCGCGTTGCTGTCGTCCTCTCTGGCTGTGGCGTCTATGACGGGACAGAGATCCACGAGGCCTCTGCGGTTCTTGTCCACCTGAGCCGAGCTGGAGCAAAGGTAAAACTGGTTAGGAAAACTAATAATCATTAAGTTTTAATATTCTTTTTTTCTTTCAGGTGCAGATGTTTGCTCCTAATATGGATCAGATGCATGTTGTGAATCACTGTGAGGGGAAACCCACAGAGGAGAAGAGAAATGTCCTGCAGGAGAGCGCTCGTATCGCTAGAGGAGACGTCATTGATTTAGCAAAGTTAGACATCTCTGCTTTTGACGCTGCTATTATTCCCGGTAAATCTTGAAAACTGCATTATACTTATTGTATTCCCATTCTATCCCACCTATATATAATTCAACAATAATATGTATATTTGATATGAAAATATATGTATTTCTCTCAGGTGGCTTTGGTGTGGCTAAGAACCTGAGTGACTGGGCAGTGAAGAGTAAAGACTGCACCATCCATCCTGAGGTGGAGAAGCTTATTAAGTCCTTTCACAAAGCTGGAAAACCTCTGGGAATGTGCTGCATCTCTCCTATTCTGGCAATCAAACTCCTGCCTGCGTGTGAGGTGACTGTGGGCCAAGACAAAGAGTGTGAAAGGTAAGAGAAAACCTCAAAGTAAATATATTTAAATAAATATATTTGTGTTTTCAAAATCCTAAACTATTTGCTGTTTACAGATGGCCTTATGCGCAAACTGCTGATGCTGTGAAGGCTCTGGGATGCAAACATGTGAACAAAGAGGTTGATGAGGCCCATGTTGATATGAAAAATAAACTTGTAACAACCTGTGCCTTTATGTGCAATGCTCCCATGCACAAGGTGTTTGATGGAGTGGGTGTCATGGTTAAAGAGACGCTCAAATTGGCCTGAACACAATGAATGAAGAGGCTGTAATTGTGTTTTTAAGATGTTCAATAAAATTTTACACTTAATATGTTTGTCTTTGCTTGTATTCATTTGAAGTCAGATTTTATAATACTAATCTATCTTTATAAAAGAAGCTAAATGCGGGGAGGTTATTTAAAGAGGGAATAATGTCAGATAAACAAATAAGGGCAGATTTTTTTTTTTATAATGATCTAAAAGCAAAAGAGGCACTTCAAATAAAACAAACAAACAAACCAAAAAACTAAACAAAAAAACAAACAAAAAAACAACAACAACAGAGTAACACATAATAAGAGACAATATATGAAACCACGACATGTTACTAAAAGTACCTATTAGGAGGTGTTTGTAGCGTACACTTTGTAATATATGGCCATAACACCTGTCAATGCCAGAGTTCCTCTGAGCCCATCTTAGATCCAAAGTAAGGTTGTGCCTGGTTAATACTTGGATGGGAGACAACGGGGACTATCAAATGACACAATAGGGCAGAAGTGGTGGAAACTGTTGTTGTATGCATAGGCAAGGCACTTCACCCACCTTGACTAGTATGAATATGGTGTCTGTGGGAGTGTTGAGAGTGAGTGAAGTTTATTGCCTCTGTTGACCCATGAATATCACATTAATATCACCCCTTTTGCTTTTTTACATATGCTGAAGATACACATGCTAAAAACTCTTATTGCAACTACATAGCTGTCAATTGTTTCCTGATGCCCAGCCCACCCACTAACAGTACCCCCTGATGGTCTTGTTTGGATTAGCAGAGGAAGGAAGGATTCTTTAGTTTAATTTGTTTATAATTAATTAAAAAAAATATTGCAATACAACTTTATACTATAATTTCTCTAAAATGTAAAAACAAACAAACACACAATCTCATAAGATTTTAGATAATATTTTATTTATGATTTTTCTCATGTTTTATTTAATTTTTACAAATGTGTGCAAGACACACACACAGACTATATAAGACAGTAAAAGTATTAATTAAGACAAAACTGTCTTAAAAGTAACCACATAACACACACACATGAAATATATTCCAGAAATTGTTAACTGCTTGTATTAGAGAAATTATTGAAGTGATCTGTCCCACAAGCCAACACAGCTGCATTGAACTTCCTGGGTCGGTCTGGATCCTGATGGAGGAAAGCATGTGAATACTGTTTTTAATGAAATGTGTACATGAGCAGGTCTCCTCACCTCAACAGGGTAAGCACGGCTGGGCACATAACGAATCACAAAGCCACAGCGTCTCTTTGGGGACATGTTGGGGTCACTGGCGTGTACGAGAAGTCCATCATGAACCTGAAAAAGAAACATATGAGTTTATTACTGCACTAAAACTATTGACTCGAATCTTTTGCTACAAACTGTTTACTTACAGACATCTGTCCTGCTAACAAGGGGCAGAGCACAGTGCGCTCCACTTGCACCAGTTCCTCTGGGATCTCCTGGTTTACCGTCAGCATGTTACCAGGACGCACTGCCAAGCGATGGGGGAGCAGACCGGAGCAGTGAGTGCCTGAGAGGTGAAGGGATTTCACACATGAGCTAACCATTCTGAAATACTGCATTACAGTTCTACATTGATGATCATGTAAAATAGAAATACACCTCTTAGACTAACAAGTCTGGTGAGAAAGAAATGTAAATAAATCATTTTTAAAAATTTTAATTATTTCATTCATAGTTTACCTGGTATAACCTGGAGTGCACCGTTTTCTTTGAGGGAATCATCTAAAGCCAGCCACACAGACAGAACAGGGCCTCCATCAATGCCCCAATACCTGCGGTTACAACACTATTACTTTAAAATAACAATACAATACAGTTACAATGCAAAGGACTGAGGAGCTACCTCATGTCCTGATGCCATGCCACATAAGGTAGCTCTTCTTCGGCTCTGTCAGATTTGAGTGTTGGATATTTGCAGATAAAACGGGAGTCCAGCAGGATCACATCAGGTCCCAGGATGGCTTTGACAACGTCCAACACACGAGGGTGCTGGGTCAGTGCCATCACCCAGTCGTACTTCAAGTGGACATTGTGGAGGTTGTAGCTTGTGTATTCAACACCTGGTGAACAAATGTGTAGTAAATGCGGTTATTTCTGTTTTTGAAGAAAAGGCTAAAAACCCAATGTGTCGTAGAGCTGCCAGAATTGTGCATATGTTAAAAGTCCTATATTATGCAAAACTGACTCTTTAAGTCATGTTATAATGCTGTTACCTCCTTAAAAACATACCTGGAGTTGAGCTTCGTTTCATTCACGCATGTTTTAATTACCCTCTACTATTAGGCTGTGTACACCTTCAAAGTTCAAAATGCTCTGTTCCACCTTGTGATGTCATGGACATTTAGTTCAACAGAGATTGGCAATTCAAGGGCTGAAATCAAATGACCAAATGGTTCAAGTGAAGGAAGGTGAAAACACACAGTGGAGCACTTCCTGTAATATCACGTGACATTATAAGGTGGAACAGTGTTTTTTGATTGAGAAAATTGAGAAAATAGTGTAATATGGGCTCTTTAAAGGTTCCACTGAAATGTTCCACTGCATGGCATTAAGCCTAACTCCATGGACACAAACAGGTTGCGCCACCAGGCCAAGTTACAGGTCAGTTCCGCAGAGAGTAAAAATACACTTTTTTGTATATGTTTTGACAATAAAGACGTGTAATTAAATAAACACAAGATAAATAAATTTAATAGTATAACATGGAATAGTATGATATGAAAATATAAAGACAAGCAGGTAGTGGAGCTCCCGCCAGAATTTTATGGTGCACTTTTAATAAACTAGTATAGAAAAGTATGTTGCATCAAAGTATTTCATATATTTATAAGTGTAAACAAGTTAACCCTGGCATCTGGCACTTACCAAATTGCTCCTCAAGTTGAGAAAAGGCTTGTCTGGCCTCCCTCAGCTCTGCCTCACTCAGGACAGAGAGAGCGGAAAGGTAGCCCTGCTGACTGTACAGCTCCTGGAGCTCGTCCGAAGATGTGGTCATCGTCTGTGGCATGTTTTCTGCTCTCAAACTTCACCCTGTAAGTGGAGGATATTTAACAAGGAGTTTAAAATAAATAATTTGGTCATCAAGTGTGTTTTCAAAGTGGTGCTTTGTCTAGGTTTAGAAGGAAAACATAATATTTACAGTTAATAGGAAATTTCAAGCAAAGGGTGTTTTTCAAGCAATTTTAGAGAAATACGAAGTATCTCACATACCATTACGAGTCTCTGCTAAAAACAAATCTACTTGTATTTATTATACAAAGAATATCACATGCAATAACCTAACATCCATCCATCCAGTTCTTACCTGTGTCTGGTTGGTTGAAGTGCCCAGTGCTCCTCATGGCCAAGGCTATTTAAACACAAGTCCCGGAAAGTTTGCTGTTTTATTTTTACCAAACATTATGCTTCTCTGGAATAACCAAAGGTAATCTAGGTTGTTTTATTACGTAGTTTGCAGTGTACTCCTCGGGTGTGGTATGAATGCGGGGGTTAAACAGTAATCTGAAACTCTTAACATCCAAGCCTGCACTTTCATTTGTAGTTTCCTGTAAACCTAATATCCATCCTCTCCCAGTAACCATGACCTACACTATTTACAACTCATTTAGAGGGAAAGCCCAGCCTCTGTTGGGTCTGAGTCAGTGAGCACAGTCCAAAAAAAAAGTGGTGCGCAAATTTGACACTTGGTCATACTTCTTCTTTCAGAGAAGTAAACTGTTTCCTTAATTTAGCTAATATAAACTTGCCTTTAGAGCATAATTCATCATGGAGTTACTTTCCTTGTGGGTTCAGTGAGATTGTTGAAAAGAAAAACATGTTTTTAAACATTAAATTAAATTGTAGCTTAGAAATTCCAACTTTATATGGACTTTGATCAGGGTCTAGTATATTGTAGAATTTTAACACATTATTAAGAAAAGCACCAATTACTAAGAGATTAATTTAAATCAATCAACTAATCATTGATTTGTCTTTTGCTATATCTTTGCCATTAATATCAATGGCTACATGGCTTCTCTATTATATTTATTATTTCTTGTTTATTTCATACAGACAACAAAAGATATAAAAGAAAAGTGCCTATGACAGATTAGACTGCTCATTTTACCAAAATCAGAAAAAAATTGTTTATTGTGTGTAAATTGCGCTGAACTTTTGGATAGAATTCTCCGTAGTGTGATGACATCAGTGTGTTTGAACTCTTTACTTCCTGTAATTTTCAACTTGTTTCAACTTCACAAATTGCTTCTTGATTTGTGTAAAACTATAATATATAATTTATAATTATATTTTGTATGCATGATATGTCATTTATTTTGCTATATGTAAATATTTGTTAAGTTCCGTGATCAATGTACAGAAGCAACCACATAATTTTTGAAACTGTCATGAATAGGGGTGGGTTCATATAAGTTTTTCTTCTTCCCACTCCTTTTCAAGAAATGTGCTTTTCTGTTGTTTGCAATGTATATGTAGTACATATGATTATTGTTTCTCTCTTGGCACAAACTCGAAATAAAAACGAATCAATCAATCAAATACTTTCAATAGTTACAATAGTAGATTATCCCTAGCCAGGCTGGCGCCACCTAGTGCTTCTGAAATGGAGCAAAGGTAAAAAAAACTCCGCTAAAACCGTCTGATGAATGAGGCTAGATTATCCCAAAATTTAGTCAAAATTAGAGAATCATACAAATCTGTCATACACACTTTAACTATTAACAGACAATATATTTAAATATCTCTACAATATTTGCCTAAGATATCAGTTCTTTTTTCTAGCCTGGTGTTTGGGGCAGAAAGGGTGATGTGGTTTCTTGAGTGGCTGCTCTTCATGGTGTGTCCTCTTGTCTCCCCCTACTGGTCGTTTCTCATTATTACAGCGGTGGATCAGCACTGGGTCTGTGAGGGGGGACTGTGTCTTCTTCAGCAGCCGCTGCAGCATCTGTTTGTCTGAGCGCTCACGTCTGAAGTCATCTTCATAGACTTTGAGCTGTACAAACATCATAGCAAATGGAAATGGTTTCATAAATTGACTGAACATTAAGTACAACCTGTATAGTTGCCAACCTGCTCTTGCAGTAGTGCCACCTGCTGGCGCATCTCCTCCCTCTTCTTTCTCAGCCTGCTGTTCTCCTGCTGCGTGTGTTTATGGCTGTTATGCTCCGTTTGAAATTCTGCCTCATAAATCTGAGTCTGCTGACACAGGACATCGATATGGCAATCAGCCAAATCATACAATGTGATCTCTTACTTTTCTTCTCTGCAAATCCCACTAGCCCTAGCCTCCACTTGGTGGTGCAATTCGCTGTATAATGTTATTCTGCAGCCAAGTGTTTAGCAAATCTTTCCCTGGCAACAGCAACCCATCACCAGAGTAAAAGGTTTAGAGAGTCTGTTCAAAGTGTATCCCACCTGACACTGCATTGCCTGCAGCTGCTCCTTCAGGTCCTGCACCTCCTGTTGTGGGTCTCCCTGTGCAGAGGGGCAGTGGGCCAAACCCCCCAGCTCTGCCTGTGGGCTGGAAGCAGCTGGGATGAATGTGAGTGGTGACAGTTTGGGACCTCCAGGAGGATTACCAGTGGTGCTTGATGGCAGTGTCATAAAGTTGCCCTATAGTACAAATACAGCACACATCAAGTATGAACTGATATAAAGCTGAATATTTGATGTGGAAGAGTGAAGTACCTGTTGAGATAAGGCAGTCTGCTCTGAGGGGGGCAGCCTACTCTCTATGCCTGATATAGTCTTGCAACTGCTGGTTTTTCTTCAACTCCAGCATCAACGCCTGCTCATAGTAGTCTTTAACACTCTGTAAATGGTCAAATCACAAATGGCTGTTTACTTGAGTAGTATACGTTCACCCACTTTGAAGAGAGGGTCTTACCTGCTGGTGCTCTGTTTTGAGCAGCAGTTTGCTGTTGAGTGTTTTGATGGCTGAGTTCTCCATCTCGAGGGCCTCAACTCTCTGCTGCAGACTGAACGTGGCACTGCGGTACACCTGGTCCCATTCCTCATTCAGATTCATTAACTGAAATACACCACCACCATTATCTCCATTATGTATCCAAGAATACATCCTGTCTCTGACATCATCACAGGTGAACTCAGGGCACTGATGTCATATTTCCATTGAACTGTGTAAGAGAAATGGGCTACTACATAATGTAGTAGCCTATGTAAATGTGGTCTACATTTACAATTGCCCCGGCATAGTCTAGGGTAATTAGGCCAAAGCTTGTAAAAATGATAAAAAATGTGTCATTTCACTATAATTTTTCACAGTATAACAGCAGTGTTCACACACCGCCCACAGTTCTTTGGATTTCAGAGTTGCTGTAATTGCCACATCAGCAGAGAAACTGAAGGTGCACAGAGCTGAGGCTATACCTCTTTGTTGATGCGTCGCAGCTCAGTGTTTTTGTTGAGTAGCAGCAGTTTCTCCTGGTCTGTGGAGGTGACTGTCATACTGTCAGTGATCAGAGTGACCTGCTCCTCTGAGGAGAGCAGGCTGTCAACTGCAGGACCCACTCTCTGTGACCTACCACAATGGAGATATGCCAGAAATAAGTCATGATCAACATCCACAGTTTCCATTAATATACAAAGACTGTCAGAGTACTTTTGAACACCCACTCGCTTAAAGTGCACTTACTGAGAACCAAACTAGAGCTATTATTCACACCAACGCGCACATGCAGCCAAAGTCACATTATGAACTCAAAGCTACAACTTTAACTTGAATTCATTTCCCAACATTAACCTTTATCTAAAAATAGCTGTGAGTCTAGTATGTCTCCTATACACATGTAAATAGAATATTACACCAATAATGTATAAAAAAACAAGGAACCAAACAGAGCTTCTCCCTCTTACATGAAGCCTTGTCAATTAGTGGATCATTTGCATATTGATATCCTCCGGTAACAATGGCATGATCATTCCCGGAAAATGAGAAGCACTTGCATGAAATAGAAGGGGAAATATTTGCTGAGATTAATTACTCCAACCGTTGTTGTTCCCGCAGGCCCTGGTGTGGGGTCTCGTCTAAATGGGAAGGCAGACAGCGAGGCAGTGGAGTCGTACAGCCCTGGAGGGAGCAGGCGGCTTGTGGAGGAACACACAGGGAGATGAAACTGAGGATGTATCCCCCGTGGACCGCTTTGAACACTCACACACACTCACACACACTCTCACACACACACACACACACACACACACACACACTCACACACACACACACACACACACACACACGCACACGCACACACACACACACACACACACACACACACACACACACACACACACACACACACACACACACACACACACACACACACACACACACATGGTACGGCTGGTTGGACACTGCGCTGAGCTAAGTACAGCAGAGACAGCAGAGAGAACCCCCACAATCAGCTTCCCCGACAGGGAGTTCTATCATATTGTGTATGTGTCATTTGTTACATGATAAAGGGATTACCATTAGTTTTGCTGCTTCATTTACAAATTGTTGATTAATGGTTAATGATTTTTCGCATAATAATATCAAATTATGGAACTCTGGTTGAGGTATTTTTACAGTTTATATATTTTTGAGTTTCATTTCCTTGCAACATTTTATTTAAATCCCCACAGTGTAACTTTATAACTAAAACACTGATAACATAAAAGCCTGCATTTTCATTATGGATGGTTTTACTGCACTACAAAACTTGAAAAAATACATCCTTACTGTGAGTGGACTTGCATTTCCTTAAACCTCCCCTGGAGGAGGGCTACAAGCACATGAGACAAGCAGACGAACCCTCCATCAGAAAACGCACATCATGCACCTTCACTATAGCATCCTTTTGTCTTTTTTTGCAAAATAAGTAATAAAAAGTAATACAAACAAAAGTAATACAAACAATAACAGCTGTAAACTGGGTGTTGTACACAGAAAACTATTTATAGTCTTCTCGCGATAAAGTACCATAAAAAGAAAGACAAGGAAAGGATCCCACCATTAACGGGCAAAATGTAGAATGAAAACTGACATTCAAGCTTGATTTTTACAGCCAACATAAACTGACACATGTGTATCCAGCCATTGCCATGGCAGCTCAGTGTTATGTATTCAGTTGTGCTGTTGGGATCACACTCAGCTCCACGCTTCCTTGATCCTCAGCCTACTCTGACAGACAGCAGTCGGGTATGACCCACTTTCACTAAGTTTCTCTTGTTTTGGAAGGACACCAGAATGCCACAGCTTTCCTCTAACAATATGATAATTCACTGTCATGGCCAGTGGTAAAAAAAAAAAAAAAAAAAAGATAATATTCTTTCCTTTAACTATTGGCAACAAGGCAACTGGGAATTTAAAAGCTGTTTTCCACTTGGTTGACTGAAAAGGGAAGTGAAAGGTGTTGCAATTTCAACTTAACTTGCGCAATTTTAAACCTCAAGAGAACTGCATTCAGATGAGGACAGCCCCTAACCTCAATATAACCTACGAACCTGATCTTCTACTGAATATTTTGAATTTTATGATACCAGTGGGTAAGTTAGTATTTAAGACCTCCCAGACTCATGTTTTTTATTTTACTACTCATTTTTACTTCTAAAGCATAGTGTATTATAAGTAATAGACACTGAATGACATCATGGGAAAATCCACCAGACATTAACTAACATGAACTGATGACATTGTTTACTTGTTTTTCAGTTTTAAAGGTTTTAACCATGTTGATCACTTAATTTAAGTCTAATCACACTCTTACAGTTGTTTCATATCATCAAATATTACACACTTCTGTTTAGGAACTTAGACTATAACATATTCAGTAGCATCTGATAGTATAGTATTTATAGTCTACTCACCACACTTCCTCAGACATCTTTGGTTCATCCATTTGACCTCCTGTTGTTGACAATGATAGCGATGGTGATGATGCCAAGGACAGAACATCTCCCTCCATGTCCACTACCGTGTTCAAACAAGCCCTTAATGTGATCTGCAACGCAAAGTAGAATAGCAGTCATATGTTTGATAGTAAAAGGGGAAGTAGAAGAACCACAGGATACGTAGTTAGAGACCATATATGAGTAGCCGTATTTGTTCTAGGTAGCAACCATTTGTTTTGACATCATCGTCAGGAGAAACTGGGAAACTCCAGAGAGGAAGATGTGAGTTTGCATATGGTTAAAATCTCCACTGAATTTCAATTAATAAGAAGCCTTGAGGTAGAGAGCCTGTGAATAGATGTGCATAATTTCTGCATGATTATATATTACGAGCAGATGTAATTGATTATAATGCATACATTTATTCATGACAAATAATGATAGGGTCAGGGTGATTGCGTTTGCTTGCTTGGTTCATTAGTAGGAACCAGGAAAAGAAGGCTCCAACAGGTTAATTAGAAAATCACATGCTCCTCCAAGGAACAATCAGGCAAATTAAAGGATCTGTGTTAATTATGTTCTTCTATGCCAAACAATTTCCACTTTTTAAACACTCATTGAGTCGACTACACCAGCATACTCGGCAAATATATGTAGCAAGCATTTGAGACAGAGGCAGGGTGAGTTTAAGATAAGAACAGTGGCTTGTTGCTTGGATCTCAGATGGAAAGGCACAGACTTATACAGATTAAAGATTGTTCATGCTTTCAGTTAAAAGATAACATCACTTAAGCTTTTGTCAAGGAAAAACCTTTTGTCGTGCGGAAGAGCACAAAACCCCCTTGTGTGGTGCAGTGTAATTAAAAAGTAATTTGATTACAGACCTGCTATCATGGTATATCTTTTTCTAGTTTCTAGAGTTTTCTACTAGCTGTTAGACACAGGTCCTGTATCATAATAATGTCTGGCATATCATGGATCAATGTGTGTGCTGCTACTTACGCATTATCATGTATAGTGTTGCCTCAATAGGTCTCACTTGTGTCTGTAACTACAAATCAGTTATTATACTATAAAACAGTTGCTCTCAAAGTCTGTAGAGCTGTGATGGACTTAATACTGCTTTAAAGTAGTAAATGAAACAACTAAATTATGCAAAGTTAATTTCAAACTCAATTTACTTTTATGCTTGGTGTGAGGATGACCTTTGGGGGCACCATCAGTGCTATAAACAATTAATTTGGATGAAAAATTTTATATTAACTAACATTCAGATTTTAGGCTTTTGACGTCCCATTAACGCTATAAAAAATATCTATATCTATCTATCTCTATCTATCTATCTATCTATCTATCTATATCTCTATATCTCTCTATCTCTCTCTCTCTCTCTCTCTCTCTCTCTCTCTCTATATATATATATATATATATGGATAATGATGAATGATTACAAAATGTCAGAAATTCTTACAACACAATAAAATCTGAAATCATGACATCATAATCCTCGCTACCCATTCTCAACAATTAAGAAATAATATATAAATATTGCAACTTTGTAGGTGGCATATCTTCAGTATCTTCATAGCATTATTGTAGTTGTATATACATACTGTATCACCATTAGCATGCTAACAAATGACCTGAAAAGTTTGTGGTTTAGGTTTTTTTAACCTTGTATAAAATAAAACATTTCAGAGGTTTAGAAGTAGGGCCCAAAGTTG